AGTGTCAAGTTCCAGTATCGATTAGCCACATTCTGTTAGACTGCCCTCTCTATCAACGAGCACGCAGAATTTACCTCCAACGTCGTCTTCGTTCTACTACTCTCTCTTTACCTTCCCTTCTTGCTGATGGACCCTCCTTTAATCCTGACTCTCTCATTGACTTCTTGACAACGACTGATTTACTCCACAAACTCTGATGATACTTTTCGCACTCCCCTCAACCCTTTCTAGTTCAGTCTCTTGCTGCCCCTTACCCTTTCACCATCCACTACCCTGCTGTCATCCGTAACCTATTACTCATCCATCTCCCTTTTGCCACCTGATGCCCTCGCTTCCTTCCTGCCCTGCAGCTCTGTATAGTCCTTGTGGCTTAGCGCTTCTTTTTGATTATAATAATAATAATAATAATTGATCTAAGGAACTAAACCTGAGGCTCTCCTTCCTTGAACTTTAATACCTCCCATTCTGCCAGATTCTATTGACCCTTACAGCTTGGTGCTTTCATGGATGATGATGATGATGATGATGATGATGATGATGATGATGATGATGATGATGATGATGATGATGATGATGATGATGATGATGATGATGTGATGATGATGAGATGATGATGATGATGATGATGATGATGAGATGATGATGATGATGATGATGATGATGATGATGATGATGATGATGAGATGATGATGATGATGATGATGATGATGATGATGATGATGATGATGATGATGATGATGATGATGATGATGATGATGATGATGATGATGATGATGATGATGATGATGATGATGATGATGATGATGATGATGATGATGGGTGATGATGATGATGATGATGATGATGATGATGATGATGATGATGTAGTAGTAGTAGTAGTAGTAATAGTAGTAGTAATAATAGTAATAATAATAGTAATAGTAATACTGATAGTAATAATAGTAGTAATAATAGTAATAATAGTAGTAATAATAGTAATAATAGTAATAATAGTAGTAATAATAGTAGTAATAATAGTAGTAGTAATAATAGTAGTAATAATAGTAGTAATAATAATAGTGATAATAATAGTGATAATAATAGTAATAATAGTAATAATAGTAATAACAGTAATAATAATAATAATAATAATAATAATAATAATAATAATAATAAGAATACCTGCAGTTATAAATATCTGATAGGCCATAGGCATACACTGTGGCCTATCAAATATTTATAACTAAAAAAAATCTAGTAGCCTCCTGCCAACAGGGTGTTACACTGGCAATGAGATACAACTTTTGTCCTGCATTTTTCACTTATTTTGATAAAGCAATTCTGGAATTCAGCTAAATTATTCTATAGCTAATAAATCAGCAGAATATTTTCTTAAATAAATGTTAGCAAATCATATTGTTATACAAAAACTATTGCAGATATACAGTGAAAGCTACTTACATGTCTATGAAATCTAGGCTTTAAAAGTGTTAAGATATTACTTTGCCACATTTAAGTTAAAATCACATTGATATATATATACATGTAATAAATGTTTCATTGCATTAAACTGTTACGAGATTCCAATATTTATTAGAATATTATTAGAATGGTTTCTCTTGGTATTCTCTGAAAGAAAGTCCTGCACAAGGCATTATATGGTTTGCAAATAAGAGAGAGAGTTTATTATTATTTTTTTTACTAATACATTGGCCAATTCCCACCAAGGCAGGGTGGCCCGAAAAAGAAAAACTTTCATCATTCACTCCATCACTGTCTGGCCAGAGGGGTGCTTTACACTACAGTTATAAAATTGCAACATAAACACCCCTCCTTCAGAGTGCAGACACTGTACTTCCCTTCTCCAAATCTCAAGTCCAGCCTGCCAGTTTCCCTGAATCCCTCCATAAATGTTACTTTGCTCACACTCCAACAGCATGTCAAGTATTAAAAACCATTTGTCTCCATTCACTCCTATCAAACACACTCACGCATGCTTGCTGGAAGTCCAAGCCCCTCCACACAAAACCTCCTTTACCCCCTCCCTCCAACCTTTCCTAGGCCGACCCCTACCCCACCTTCTCTCCACTACACAAATATACGCTCTCGAAGTCATTCTGTTTCGATCCATTCTCTCTACATGTCCGAACCACCTCACCAACCCTTCCTCAGCCCTCTGAACAACAGTTTTGGCAATCCCGCACTTGCTCCTAACTTCCAAACTACGAATTCTCTGCATTATATTCACACCACACATTGCCCTCAGACATGACATCTCCACTGCCTCCAACTTTCTCCTTGCTGTAACATTCATCACCCATGCTTCACATCCATATAAGAGCATTGGTATAACTATACTCTCATATCTTCCCCTCTTTGCTTCCAAGGACAAAGTTCTTTGTCTCCACAGATGCCACAGTGCACCACTCACCCTTTTCCCCTCATCAATTCTATGATTTACCTCATCTTTCATAGACCCATCTGCTGACATGTCCACTCCCAAATATCTGAATTCCTTCACCTCCTCCATACTCTCTCCCTCCAATCTGATATCCAATCTTTCATCACCTAATCTTTTTATCCTCATAGCCTTACTCTTTCCTATACTATTCACTTTTAATTTTCTTCTTTTACATACCCTACCAAATTCATCCACCAACCTCTGCAACTTCTCTTCAGAATCTCCCAAAAGCACAGTGTCATTAGCAAAAAGCAACTGTGACAACTCTCACTTTGTGTTTGATTCTTTACCTTTTAACTCCACACCTCTTGCCAAGACCCCTGCATTCACTTCTCTTACAACCCCAACTATAAATATATTGAACAACCACAGTGACATCACACATCCTTGTCTAAGACCTACATTTACTGGGAAATAATCTCCCTCTTTCCTACATACTGTAACCTGAGCCTCACTATCCTCGTAAAAACTATTCACTGCTTTCAGTAACCTACCTCCTATACCATATACCTGCAACATCTGCCACACTGCCCCTCTATCCACCCTGTCATATGCTTTTCCAAATCCATAAATGCCACAAATACCTCTTAACCGTTATCTAAATACTGTTCACCTATATGTTTCACTGCAAACACTTGGTCTACACACCCCCTACCCTTCCTAAAGCCTCCTTGTTCATGTTCTATCCTGTTCTCCATCTTACTCTTAATTCTTTCAATAACTCTATCATACACTTTACCATGTATACTCAACAGACTTATTCCCCTATAATTTTTACACTCTTTTGTCCCCTTTGTCTTCATTCAAAGGAGCTATGCATGCTCTCTGCTAATCCCTAGGTACATTACCCTCTTTCATACATTTACTAATAAAAACACTAACCACTCCAAAACTATATCCCCACCTGCTTTTTAACATTTCTATCTTTATCCCATCAACCCCAACTGCTTTACCCCCTTTCATTCTACTCAGTGCCCCATGCACTTCCCCCACACTCACAACTGGTTCTTCCTCACTGCTATAAGATGTTATTCCTCCTTGCCCTGTACACGAAATCACAGCTTCCTTATCTTCATCAATGTTTAATAATTCCTCTCCATCGTCCCAATGCCTCTAACTCTCCAATTAATAACTCCTTCCCTAGGCTTATTAGTCTCACTCCAAAACTTTTTCTCATTTTCAACAAAATTTGTTGATAATTTCTCAACCACCCTCTCATTTATTCTCTTTTTACAATGCTTTACCACTCTCTTAACCTCTCTTTTTCTTTCCATATGCTCCTCCCTCCTTGCATCACTTCTACTAAGTAAAAACCTCTCATATGTTAACTTTTTCTCTCTTACTACTCTCTTTATATCATTCCATCAATCGCTCTTCTTCCCTCCCTCACCCACTTTCCTGTAACCACAAACTTCTGCTGAATACTCTAACACCATTGTATTCTTAAACTTACCCCATACATCTTCCTTCCCATTGCCTATACTCTCACTAGCCCACCTGTCCTCCAACAGTTGTTTATATCTTACCCCAACTTCCTCCTTCTTTAGTTTATAAATCTTCACTTCTCTCTTATTTGCTGTTTCCATTCTCCTTGTATCCCATCTACCTTTTACTCTCACTATAGCTACAACTAAAAAGTGATCTGATATATCTGTGGCCCCTCTACAAATATGTACATCCAGAAGTCTTTCCAACTGTTTTTTATGTACCAATACCTACCAGTACCAACAAACTAATGTCATTTCGCCCTACATCATACCTTGTATACTTATTTATCCTCTTTTTTCTTAAAATATGTGTTACCTGTAACCAAACCCCTTTCTATACAAAGTTCAATCAAATGCTCCCCATTATCATTTACACCTATCACCCCAAACTTACCTACCACACCCTTTCTAATTGCTTCTCCTACTTTACCATTTAGGTCCCCTACCACAATTACTCTTGGCTCAAAAGTTCCTGCACACTCGCTTAACATCTTCTCTAGGTGCATACACACTTATTATGACCCACTTTTCACATCCGACCCTTATTTTAATCCACATAATCCTTGAATTTATACATTTATATTCCCTCTTCTCTCTCCATAACTGATCCTTCAACATTATTGCTACCCCTTCCTTAGCTCTAACTCTCTCAGATACTCCTGACTTAATCCCATTTATTTCTCCCCACTGAAACTTCCCTACCCCCTTCACCTTTGTTTTGCTTAAGGCTAGGACATCCAACTTCTTTTCATTCATAACATTAGCAATTATCTCTTTCTTATCATCTGCACTACATCCACACACATTCAAACCTCCCAATTTTATATAGTTTTTCTTTTCCTCATTTTTAGTAGTTTATACAGGAGAAGGAGTTACTAGCCCATTGTTCCCGGCATTTAGTCGCCTCTTACGATATGCATAGCTTACGGAGGAAGAATTCTGTTCCACTTCCATTGGGAAGTGGAACAGAATCTTCAAAGACAAAATCAAAGACAAAATCTTCAAAGACCTAAGTGCTTAATTAAGTGCAGCTTTAAATAAAATAAAATCAAAAGTTAGCAAAGTGTACATACTCTCTGAGGGCATCAGCAGAGGATGGAGGTTGATCATCCGTGTCTTGTACAGGTGTCTGGGGATGTGATCGACGGTTACGTCCATCTCTGGCTGTATACGCTTCTTGGGCTTCTTGAATGTGCCGGAACCATCTATAAAAAAAATATTTTTTATCAGATTACAGTACTGTATATAGAAATAAAATACGTACTGTAAAAATATTAATAATAATACCAAGACAAAGATGAGCAACTGTTGGTGGGGCCACAACCAACATAACACCCTATAAATATTGCAGCTTTTTGCTCAATATAACATGGTTAGCCTTCTCCTGGTAATTGGGGGTTGCCTCCTGTTACAAATTTATTCCCTAAGGAATGATCTCTAGGAATTTTGCATATGCACATCTTATCTTGTAATGCATATTAATTTCCATTGGATTTAACACTTTATTTTATATTATTTATGAAGGGATTCAGGGAAACTGGCAGGCCGGACTTGAATCCAGGAGATGGCAAGTACAGTGCCTGCACTCTGAAGGAGGGGTGTTAATGTTGCACTTATATAACTGTAGTGTGAGCACACCTCTGGCAACACAGTGATGGAGTGAATGATGAAAGTTTTTCTTTTTTCGGGCCCCCCTGCCTTGGTGGGAGACAGCCGATGTGTTAATAATAATAAAATAAAAAAAATTCATTAGTCTAGCATTATTTTTAACTTTTTTCTGTTATGAATAATAATGCAATCATTTATTTTCTTTACACTTTTACTTAACCTCTTAATTGTGCCCAACATACTAGTACGAAGATGTCAATGTGTGTGATACACTAGCATGCATGATTTTGTCATATCTTCAAATCTGCCACCTGCCAATGTTTTTGACATCACAACTCTGAGTCATCTACAATCTCTTAAGGGGCACGTAAGTGCCACCGTCTTCTAATAACATGTTCATTTTTTCACTATAATCTACCTTGTCCTTAATTACTATCGTATTTGCTTTGTCTGTTTCATAAAGTGAAGTCTAGGATCTTTCCTTAATTAACTTATACCATGAATTAAGGAAAGATCCTAGACTTCACCTTACAAAACAGACAAAACAAATGCAATAATAATTATAGACAAGGTAGATTATAGTGGAAAAATGAACATGTTACGAACATGTTACGTGGCTTTGGAAAAAATCTGAGACAAGTTAATTAAGTCCACACAGAGCATCATAGTTAACAGGTGATGGCAATGTATTCAACATACTAATACACCTAACTAGCATAAGTAAAAACTTTAATCAAAATCTATTGTTCCACCACCAGCTTCCTTACCAGGGTGGAACTGGCAGGCAGATGACTTACTGTGAATTTATTACAATATCATGATACTAGCAGTGAAATTCAGCCACAAATCACATGTAGATTTAAGCCAAGATAACTCAAAAGCCAAGCAATGTGACTTATTTCCATGTTTTGATGAGTATTACACACAAACAAATGTAATATCATAAGATTTTCTTTTAAATGTGTGTTTTACAACCCTCTGGAAGGCCCACAGGAGTTATGGATAATTTTTGTATAACCCAGGATATTCTCTGGAGCTTAAATATAAAACATTAGTAATTTAACTACAATAACCATATACATGTACATAGTGTGACTTATTTGTGTACATACAGTGACTTATTTTTGTTTTGAGGAGTATTTATTACATAATGAAACAATGTACATAATATCATTAAGCATTCCTTATACATAGTGTAATGAGACCAAAGCAGTAAAAAATAGAATAAGAACACTTATTTGCATCAATTTACACTGTATACGTGTATTCTATGTGGAGCTATGTCGGGCTAAGCATTTCCCCATGGAAATGCTAAAACACCCTGAAACACATCTGATATCATAAGACTAGTGTATATAGTGTTAAACATTAAAAGCTATTTAAAAACTGTAAAAGCAATTAAAAAAATTAAAAACAATCATAATCTGGCGTGAAAAATTGTAAAACATAAATATCGCTGATGCATTTTTGCTGCTGCTGACAAGGAGAGGTAATTTTTTCACTAACTGCAACACACCATAAAATCGTAAGCTTTAATCAGATTCCATTCAATTCAATCCTATTGGATTCATAAAAATGCACGCTTTCATATACAGTGGAACCTTGACTTACGAGTGTCCCAACTTATGAGTTTTTTGAGATAGGAGCCATCCCTGGGTCGATTTTTTTGCCGAGTTATTTTCGAGTTAGGAGCCAGCTCCCTCCTCCCTCTCACCCCAAAACCTGGACACCTCGCTTGTTTATCTATGATTTCATGCTTTAATTCCATGGATATCATTCTATTTTTCTTCTCAGAAATAATAATACTAATATTATTAGTCAAGTCACTCAGTAAGTCAATCAAGTCACTCAGTAATTCAGTCAAGTAAGTCAGTAAGTCAAGTAAGTCAGTAAGTCAAGTCATTCAGTAAGTCAGATCACTCAGTAAGTCAGTCTAGTCACTCAATAAGTCAGTCAAGTCACTCAGTAAGTCAGTCTAGTCAATCAGTAAGTCAGTCAAGTCACTCAGTAAGTCAGTCAAGTCACTCAGTCAGTCAAGTCATTCAGTCAGTCAAGTCATTCAGTAAGTCAGTCAAGTCGCTCAGTAAGTCATTCAGTCAGGTCACTCAGTCAGTCAAGTCATTCAGTCAGTCAAGTCACTCAGTAAGTCAGTCACACAAACTCATGTAAACCTTTTTTCTGTGTACAAAGTAACACTTCAGTTACGGGTACAGGTTATCTCTTGTTTAATATCTTTATTAATTCCAAGACTTAGTGCTTATACCTCTTCGTGCCACTTTCAGCAACACTGGTATGGCTACTGGGTGCCACTTTCAGCAACACTGGTATGGCTACTGGGTGCCACTTTCAGCAACACTGGTATGGCTACTGGGTGTCACTTTCAGCAACACTGGTATGGCTACTGGGTGCCACTTTCAGCAACACTGGTATGGCTACTGGGTGCCACTTTCAGCAACACTGGTATGGCTACTGGGTGCCACTTTCAGCAACACTGGTATGGCTACTGGGTGCCACTTTCAGCAACACTGGTATGGATACTGGGTGTCACTGTCAGCAACACTGGTATGGTTACTGGCCATACTGGCCATGGTTGGTTTGGTTTGTTTGCAATCGTGTCATTACGATTTCTTGAGTCATGGCTACTGGGTGTCATGACTGCTTGGCAGATACAAGATCTAGTAATTCAAATATAACACAACTTACAAACACAGCTGCCTTGAAGGAGAGAATGACCGAACATGTATGAGTTAGGAATGTTGGGATGGTGTTGGGGAGTGGTAGGGGATGGTGGAGAGGGGTGTCGGAGAATGGTAGGGGATGGTGGGGGTGGGAGTGGTGTCGGGGAATGGTAGGGGATGGTGGGGGTGGTGTCGGGGAGTGGAAGGGGATGGAGGAGGGGGGTGTCGGAGAGTGGTTTTACCTGGAGTTTACCTGGAGAGAGTTCCGGGGGTCAACGCCCCCGCAGCCCGGTCTGTGACCAGGCCTCCTGGTGGATCAGAGCCTGATCAACCAGGCTGTTGCTGCTGGCTGCACGCAAACCAACGTACGAGCCACAGCCTGGCTGATCAGGAACTGACTTTAGGTGCTTGTCCAGTGCCAGCTTGAAGACTGCCAGGGGTCTGTTGGTAATCCCCCTTATGTGTGCTGGGAGGCAGTTGAACAGTCTCGGGCCCCTGACACTTATTGTATGGTCTCTTAACGTGCTAGTGACACCCCTGCTTTTCATTGGGGGGATGGTGCATCGTCTGCCAAGTCTTTTGCTTTCGTAGTGAGTGATTTTCGTGTGCAAGTTCGGTACTAGTCCCTCTAGGATTTTCCAGGTGTATATAATCATGTATCTCTCCCTCCTGCGTTCCAGGGAATACAGGTTTAGGAACCTCAAGCGCTCCCAGTAATTGAGGTGTTTTATCTCCGTTATGCGCGCCGTGAAAGTTCTCTGTACATTTTCTAGGTCGGCAATTTCACCTGCCTTGAAAGGTGCTGTTAGTGTGCAGCAATATTCCAGCCTAGATAGAACAAGTGACCTGAAGTGTGTCATCATGGGCTTGGCCTCCCTAGTTTTGAAGGTTCTCATTACCCACCCTGTCATTTTTCTAGCAGATGCGATTGATACAATGTTATGGTCCTTGAAGGTGAGATCCTCCGACATGATCACTCCCAGGTCTTTGACGTTGGTGTTTCGCTCTATTTTGTGGCCAGAATTTGTTTTGTACTCTGATGAAGATTTAATTTCCTCATGTTTACCATATCTGAGTAATTGAAATTTCTCATCGTTGAACTTCATATTGTTTTCTGCAGCCCACTGAAAGACTTGGTTGATGTCCGCCTGGAGCCTTGCAGTGTCTGCAATGGAAGACACTGTCATGCAGATTCGGGTGTCATCTGCAAAGGAAGACACGGTGCTGTGGCTGACATCCTTGTCTATGTCGGATATGAGGATGAGGAACAAGATGGGAGCGAGTACTGTGCCTTGTGGAACAGAGCTTTTCACCGTAGCTGCCTCGGACTTTACTCTGTTGACGACTACTCTCTGTGTTCTGTTAGTGAGGAAATTATAGATCCATCGACCGACTTTTCCTGTTATTCCTTTAGCACGCATTTTGTGCGCTATTACGCCATGGTCACACTTGTCGAAGGCTTTTGCAAAGTCTGTATATATTACATCTGCATTCTTTTTGTCTTCTAGGGGTGGTGTCAGGGAGTGGAAGGGGATGGTCGGGGTAGTGTCGGGGAGTGGTAGGGGATGGTGGGGGTGGTGTTGGGAGTGGTAGGGGATGGTGGGTGGGTGTCGGGAGTGGTAGGGGATGGTGGAGGTGGTGTTGGGAGTGGTAGGGGATGGTGGGGTGGTGTCGGGGAGTGGTAGGGGATGGTGGGGGGTGTCGGGGAGTGGTAGGGGATGGTGGGGGTGGTGTCGGGGAGTGGTGGGGGTGGTGTCGGGGAGTGGTAGGGGATGGTGGGGTGGTTGTTGGGAGTGGTAGGGGATGGTGGGGTGGTGTCGTGGGAGTGGTAGGGGATGGTGGGGTGGTGTCGGGGAGTGGTAGGGGATGGTGGGGTGGTGTCGGGGAGTGGTAGGGGATGGTGGGGTGGTGTCGGGGAG